TAAAGGACTGGGAGACTGAGAGCCCCTGGGTCAGAGTCACAGGAAGTGTGGGAGGTTAGCATTGACATCCTGGGCCCCATTTAGTAATCAGACCAAAATGACTGTAATGCTGGGAACTGATGTGCAACTGCTCAGGAACGTGTGAGTAACTGGGAACACGCAGCAGATGCTTCCCCAGGAAACAAATTCAGGTGTGTGCTTAGATACGTTTGGCAATGAGATCAGAGCCCTAAGGCACATTGAGATGCCAGGGAGGTGGTCTACTTTACTCTTGGTCGGGTTCTAAGAACCTGCTTCTCCTAAGCTATCAATGGACAGATCTGCAAGCATTCAAAGTAGTATTCTGAACTCATACATGAGCTTGAAGAATAAAAATAGCCAGACCAGCTTGTTTTGAGATAGTCTCGGAGCTAAGTGACCCAGCCTGAAAGCCAGTTGTCAGTCCCACTCAAGACTTGCTCCACACATTTGGCAAACCTGGGAGATTGGATCTAAAACCCAATAACCATCAGCCTGCAACCTGTCAGTGCTCCAAAGCCGAACTTTCAGGAACACTCTTTTGTCCCACTTCTACCTACAGATTAGGTAGGTCATGTTTATGGAACAGGTTTCGGTCGTTGATTTTGGCTCCCACTGGTACATAATTTCCACAGATTCTCCTGGGAAGGGATTTGAGTGAGGATGAGAATCCCTTCCTTTCACCCTCCATTCCAGTCAGGTACAATGCCTGTAACCTGCACTCCTTATCAATGCTAGCACGTTGGTTTTTGTGTTGACAATTGGCATTGCATGTCCTTGACTCTCAGGGGAAGAACTGAGGAAATAAATCTCCCAGACACCAGCTTTCCTCTCTGATTTATAGTAAAGGAAACAGCTTTCGAGTTCCTTTAGGGCTGGGATGGAATCTCACTGTATCCCCAAGGCTTGGCAGAGTGCCTGCCTCAAAGAAGGCATCAGATAAATTTTTGTTAAGTAAATGTTTGGTATCAAAACCTGTGTATTTATTATGCATGTGGCTGCCAGCATTGGGGCCAGTCTACATCCCGAGAGCTGTTTGTTGGCGTCGACATCTTCCCACTTGAATTGAGAACCAGTATTTGGATGTTGCTGGTGGAACCGACTTTAACGGCCAGCACGGGACAGGCAGAGGCCGTCTCACATGTCCCGAAGAGGGTGTATTTTTAACTCTTGCTCTCCAGTTATGAGCTGTTGTGCGCACTTAGTAAATATTAATGAAGAATGAGACAGGAGCTATATTGAGAGACTGCTAGGAGTCTGGGACACGGTATGCATGATTACAAGTATCCAATACATTATCTGTGTGTTTATGCAGATAAGATCTGGAGGAGGATTGGATTCTGTAATACAATTGGGGCCACTGAAATGTTTTTTTATTTTAAAAATTTATTTATTGATTTTATTTTTAAAAATGTTTTTATTAAACTTTTTTTTGTTAATCCTCATCTGAGGATATTTTTCCATTGATTTTTAGAGTGAGTGGGAGGAGGAGAGAGAAAGAAACACAGATGTGAGAGAGACACATTGATTGGTTCCCTTCACACATGCCACAACCAGGGTTGGGTATCAAGCCTGCAACTGAGGTATGTGCCCTTGACTGGAATTGAAACTGGGGGGACACTTCAGTCTCCAGGTCAACACTTTTTCTGCTGAGCCAAACCAGTTAGGGCTATTTATTGATTTTAGAGACAGAGGGAGGGAGAGAGCGAGAGCGAGAGAGAGATATCAAATTGTTGTTCCACCCATTTATGCATTCCTTGGTTGATTCTTGTATGTGTGCCTTACCTGGGAATCAAACCCGAAAAAAGTATTAGAAAAATAAAGTGTTCAGACTGAAACGACTATTCACTTTACAAACCATCTATCTATCTATATAAAAGGCTAAGTGACTGACTGTTAGTTTGTCTGACCGACCAGCCGTACATATGATGTGCACTGGCAATTTAAAAATAAACATTGACTCTTGCATGCATGATACATATAAAGCTCTCGCTGGCACCAATTGCATGCAGCGCCAATCGCACTCGATGCCAGAATGTATCTAAAAACCAACTATTGGCACAATGTACCTCTGAAGCTGAAAGAAAGCTACATTGTCAACAGAATATGTCTGAAGACCAACTATTGGCAGAACCTATCTCTGAAGCTGACAGAATGTATTTGAAGACCAACTATTTAATCAAGTTCTCATTGTTTTTATCAATGTTGTTTTTATATCATGTCTTTGTTGTTGTAATATCATGTTGTTGATTTATTAATCAATTTATCTATCACTAGAGGCCCAGTGCATGACATTCATGAACTTGGGGGAGGGGTCCCTCAGCCCAGCCTGCACCCTTTTGCAGTCCGGGAGCCCTCGGGGGATGTCTGATTGATGGCTTGAGCCCACTCCCTGGAGCAGGCCTAAGCTGTCAGTTGGACATCCTTAGCACTGCTGTGGAGGCAGGCCACTATTCTCACTAGCCATCAGCCTGGCTTGTGCCTGAGTGGTGCTCTCTTTGTGGGAGTGCACTGACCACCAGGACACAGCTCCTGCATTGAGCATCTGCCCCTTGATGGTCAGTGTGCATCATACCGACCAG